ACGTCTGCGCTCGCAAGAAAAGAAAGGACGTCAGAGGAAGAAACTTAACCTCACATATGCCGTACACATGTTGCCGTTCCACGTTACTCTCGCACAACACGAAGCTCTCTCTCATGCGACCATTTCCTTTCTCATGCTCCTTTCTTGTGACCCGACCATCCACTCTGGAACACTTCCCAGGCGGGTCCGCCTGCCTCACCTTTGCCGTCCGGACGATCATAAACCACCACAGCAGCTTACACGTCCATACTTTACGGTCGCCTCATACTCCTATCTCATCCCATTTGTGCCTGTTAGTTGCTGTTTCCAACACATTATTTCTCTGCAATCTCTCGCCAACACTACTAAGCCGTTATAGAGCATACTGAATGTTTCACTTGCCTAACCTCCCGTAAGGTTTAGCATCCTTTGGTACGAGAATTCCTCCCTAGTGCTATAGGCACCACGCCGGCCTGGAAGGGGAAATAATCGTACGGATGCACGACTACGGAGCTGTGGCCCCAGCCAGGCACAGAGTGCATATTCCTCACACTTCTTCTAATCACAGGTCCGTTCGTCGTACCTGTACACAGATTAGAGAGTCTCGGCCGAGAATTTCGCAAATTGAACGGCCACTGTAATGTAAACTCAGTTTCAAACGCATATATCTATATATATCATATATAGAGTGGCACAATACCTTTATTTAATGCATCACATATATAGCATAGTATTCACTCTCTGCCGCATGGAGTAGACTGTGGTATAGTTGATGGAAAATTGATTGAAGTAGTAAAATGGATCTTGTTGGACTACAGAACTTTTTTATGCAATTCTTCTTATTTCGCTTTCATTAGCGTTATGCGACCACCTACGTGCGGCGTCGTAATCCGCTTCAATGTGTTAGGTACAAAATCCAAGGGGCTTTTCTTTAATGTAAGAGCTCGTTCATGTATGTGTACTCCTTGCTGACCAAGACCAACTCAGTCGAGCTCTCGGGACTTGCTAGCGGAACCCTGTTCTGTCCGTGTTACGTGCTTGCGGAGCAGGAGGATTCATCGTATCCGCCGGCATGAAGTCACCTACATAGCTTAATGTACTTGGAGTGTAGTATACTCAACTCAGCAGGTACAGAATTATGATTACCGTCCTAGAGCAGCACTCTCATATAAGTCTATCTCTTCTATGTAACATTGATGATTTTATATATAATGGATAATTGCGGACATCTTTCAACTGTGATATACTGGCAATGATATGGATGAATCACATACTATGTAAAAGCAGTTTGTGGCGCATTCATAAATTCAGTCTCAGCTCCAAGCAAGTTAGACATTGCCTCGCTCGATAGAATGCATTATTCTTCTCCGTCGTAGTCTTCACGAAATAAGACTGAGTGGGGCCTCAGTTCTCTCCGACATGATAAAATAAGAAAATTATTGTCTTCTAGCAGCAAAGTGTCCTCAGGAGAGAACCAACGAAATATATGGATTCTACTCAACGCACTCAGAGTTATAATAAGATTATCAAAACTGGTGCGGCCGGCCATTTTCTACTATAACCACGTCTCTCCCTCGTTGGCCCGCGCTCTCCGGGCGATCATGTGCTTCGAGAGAAATTTGGCGTTCCCGCCGTCTTCGGTTCACACTTTTGATTGTATGGATATTTACTTCATAGAGATGGAAACAAGAAGAAGTGAGGGCCTGCTAATAGATAAACTACTCTATATACTACAGACCCCTTATCCTTATTTAGTCATTATGTCTCTTATTCATATACTTTACCTATTTCTCTCAATATATCCATATATATATACTACCCGGAGAAAGAATATATATGATAATATATATATGATATATATATATGGTATAATATATATATTCTTATATGATATACTATATTATTATACTATATATAATATATATCTATAATACTACTATATATTATATGAATTACATATCATGGTACGTTGCGAACAAATAAGACCAGTCAAATTTCCCAACGCTAATCCTCAACATAAGGTAGAGAAGGCGTGTGAGTAATTTACCCTCTCTGAGAACCTTGCGACGGGAAGGAACGCCACGTGCCCTTTCGCGCGGAGGAGACTGTGCAAAAGCTTATCGCGGTCGTTTACGGCGGTTATGTATATCGTGTTGGTGATTTATGCGAAACGTTTAAAAACGAACATAAAGCATTGCATATAGAGTGAAATAGAAAGAAATGATAGAAACAGTGTGGATACGTGCAGAAAGTAAAACTGGACATACAGGAGGGAGAATCATTAATCAAGTATAGAGACCGATAACAAGAATCTGTTTAGCATACACAAAAGATACCTAGACGTACTATGAAGGTATAATCTTTCCATAGTATTTCCATCAACCGGCTATGAATGTTAAAAGAGGGTGTGACGGGTGCTGAGAGAGATAGAGAAGTAGTGATCAGAGATAGAGTGAGTAGAGAATAGAGAGTAAGATATAGAATAACTAATATATATAAAAGCCAAAATGACCTGATAAAGAGACTTTCACTCGGGCAACTGCCATGTAAGTCAACTGTTCTTTTTTCTTCTTCTTCTTTTTCTTCAGCTTATTCCCATTTCTATATGGGGTCACTGTTCCTCGCTAGCCTCTTCCATCTTGCTCTGTCCATTGCATCTTCCCTTCTGAGTCCCTTGTCTTCCAGATCTTCTTTTAGCCTTTCCCTCCAACTTAATTTGGGTATACCTCTCCTTCTACGTCCATCCACGTGCATTTCCATAACTTGGTTTCCAATATAGCCTTCTTCACTTCTGATGACATGCCCATACCAGTTAATCCTTTCTTTCTTGCATCTTTGCACTCACTTCTGTGACCTTGACTGTACCTTTGATGTAGTCATTCCTGATCTTATCCTTCCTCGTGACACCCACACATCCACCTTAACATCCTCATCTCTGCTACATTCACCTTCTTTTCATGCACCCTCTTAATTGGCCATGTCTCGCTCCCATAAAGGATAGCAGGTCTCACAGCTGTTTGTAAACCTTCCCTTTGAGTCTTGCGCTGATCTTCTTGTCGCAGAGTACTCCTGAAAACCTTCTCCATGCCTGCCACCCTGACTGAATGCGTTGATTTACTTCTACATCCAGTTCACCGTCCTCTGTCACATGTGAGCCTAGATATTTAAAAGCTGGTACCCTCTTAATCATCTCGTCATCCATTTCCACCCCATTTTCTCCTCAAAATCATTAAATGAGAGGTACTCAGACTTTGTTCTGCTTATCTTCAAGCCTCGGTCCTCCAAAGCCCTCTTCCATTGCGAAAGTTTCTCTCTCAATGATTCTTTTGTTTTACACACCAAGACAATGTCATCTGCAAATAACATTGTCCAGGGTGCCTCCTCTTGAATCCCTTCGCTTAGAACGTCCATTATAAGGTCGAATATATACGGACTGAGAGTAGAGCCCTGGTGGAGTCCTACTTTGATGTTAAATTCATCCGTTATTCCGACGCAACTACTAACTTGTGATGTTACATCTCTATACATATCTTGAACCAATCTTACATACTTCTCGCTCACTCCCTTTTCTCTCATGCACCTCCATACCTCTGACCTCGGTACACGATCATACGCCTTCTCGAGGTCAATGAAAGCCATGTGCAGTCCCTTCTGTTTCTCCCTGTACTTTTCCATTGTCTGTCTTAAGGCAAAAATAGCATCTGATGTCTGTCTTCCCTTAACAAATCCAAACTGGTTTTCACTGATGACCGTTTCAGCCTCGATCCTCATTCCAATAGTTCTCTCCCAAAGCTTCATTGTATGTGAGATCAATTTAATTCCCCTGTAGTTAGTGCAGTCCTGGATGTTACCCTTCTGTTTATATGGGCACAATAGTGCTCTTCCTCCACTCCGATGGAATTTTCTCTTGCTCATATATTTTAATTTAAAAGGTCCACAAAACATCTACAGCAGCCTCCCAAGGCTTTTCCATGCTTCTATCGGGATGTTATCCGGTCCAACAGCTTTGTTTGATTTCATTAATCTCAGCGCCTTTTCCACTTCTCTACGTGATATGTTATCAGTCCTCCTCTCTGTTGGTAAGCCCTCTCCTGTTCCACTCTTGGGTTCTCTACATTCATTAAGTTTTCAAAATATTCCTTCCATCTCCTTTTTATAGCATCATCATCATACAAAACATTTCCTTCTGTATCCTTCATATGCCTGATATGTGTCTGATCTTTCGTTACTCTTGTCTCTGGCCTTTGCTATTCTATAAATCTTTTTCTGTCCTCCTCTTGTATCGAGTTCTTGATACATTTCTTCCCTTGCCTCAGCTTTAGCTACTGCCACTGCTTTTTTGCTGCTTTGTTCGCTGTTTTAAAGCTTTTCTTCATTTTCCTCATTTCTGTTTTTTGTAATATTCCTTCCTTGTAATCTTCTTCTGCTTTATAGTTTCCGATATTTCTTCCTTCCACCACCAAGTTTCCTTGTCATTGGTGGTCCCTTTACCAGATGTCATCCCCAACATTTCCTCTGCAGCTTGTCGGATCATTGAAGCATTCAAATTCCACCACTCTTCAACTCCTTCTCTCAACTCTATCTGCTCCAGCACTCTCTCCCTGAAACAAACTTCTCTGGTCTTCGTCTTTCAAATTCCACCACTTAATCTTAGGTATTGCCCTTTTCTTTCCTTTCCTCCCTCTTTTAATGTTAAACTCCCCAATAATCAGGTGATGTTGTTTGGCAGCTGTTTCTCCCTTAATTACCTTAAAATTTCTGACTTCACTCATTTTACTTCTCTTGTATAATATGTAGTCCAATTGTGTTTCCTGTCCTCCACTTTCATATGTATTGTAATCCTTCTTTTTGAAGAACGTGTTCAATATAGCCAGATCGTATGCCACTGCGAAGTCAATTAGCCGTTCTCCGTTGGGATTTACAGCCCCGCTCCCATATCTACCATGGACACGCTCTATTGCCAAGTTTCTCTCTCCCACGTGACCATTGAAATCGCCAGCAATCAAGGCTGTTTTCAACAT